ACCAACATCTGTAGAAGCAGTTCCAGTTGTCATTGTGGCTTGCGAATTTGTCTTCATTCAAAGTCGTTCACGTTTTGAATTTCTTGAGCACGACGAGCCTTTTGCACTTTGTCACAGCATTCGATGTTGACGAGCGTTCGAGCTCAGTTTGAGTACTGCTGCATTTGTCTTTTTTTCTCGTTGAGATGTCCAATTGTCATAGCATTCAACATTTCAACCATTTTCAAAACGTAAGTACAAATAATACCTTGGCTCCTGGGATTTGGAAGAATTCCTCCACCAAGCATCCCCCACCATACGTATGTGGAAAATTGAGCCGTAATGCTCTTAAAGAGGTCCTTATCTATCACGTCAGGTATCCACAACCGACTACGAGTCTGGTTAACCTTGCCGCTGACCAAATCCTCACTCCAAGTCGCAGTTTGATATTTAGAAACACTTCGTCATCGACAAGCACATTACAGATGCTGGATGAACACTGGGACCAGAAGACAAAATTACAATTCATAACCTCGGAAATACCAATAATTTAACCAAATATGGTAGTTGATCAAAGCTTACTGTAAATGTAATAAAAATTTTACTTTGAGACTTACAGAATCACTTTTTGGGACTTTTCTTCTTATGGAAAATAAGATATAATGCAATTTATGCAATATTGCGAACGAGGTGGCGCGTCTGGAGGAAACAGTACTAACGAGCAGGCTTAATGGGATTTCAAACCCGAACAAATTTTATTGTAAAACTTTTTCACACAAAACCATTACAAAAAATGTAACACTTTTCGTTTTCCTAAGGTCCGCCGGAACCAATGAGTAACTTCGGTACGCGACAAAAACAAGTGGTGTGATCCGACTAGCTCTCGCTCATTTAGAAAAACAGTAACACAGTACATTAACAGTGATATGGTACTAACAATCGGAAACACACCTCCTTCTAATCTACATCGCGGTGAAGACCTGGATACGTCCTTGCAAGGTTGCGTCAGGAGTCCAGGGAGGACCAAGTTGCACGACTGGCAACAGGCCAACCTCAGTACTCCTCACACTGGGAAGCGGTGAGACGACCGGTGAGAGGCCAGAAACTAAAGAGTTGCTCGAAAAAGGAAGAAAACTGGAGCTTGATCCTACTGCAACGCGTTCAACATGGCTAGTAATAAATGCCAGCTGGCGAAGAGCTTTGCAGAAAGATCTACAATGGTACGAGCAGAAGAAAATACTGGAAGCAGCAGAGAAAAGAAGCAGTCTGAAAAAATGCCGTCGGGACTTGTGTAATTATAATGTTCCGATGTCAGCCCTGATGAACGAAGATAGGGTCGTCAAGGCTTCTCGCCATGATATGGAATTAATAGCGGAAACGTTCTACACCAACCTTTTCCGTTCTACAATCCTTGTCTCGAACCTTAATATCCCCGCTGAAAAAACCACCTGGAATTCTTCCGTTGGAGGTTTGAGCTGCGATAGAAAGCATGCAAAGAAACACAGTTCCAGGACCCGATAATATGACTGCCGATTTCCTTCGAGCTGAAGACCACAATTTACATGTACTTCTCGCAGATCATATGACAGGCTACCTTCAAAAAGAAAAGTCCCGGACCAGTGAAGGACATCGCGCACGATCATCCTGCCCAAAAAAGGAGACCGAAGGGATTTTCAGAACTATAGTCCCCTATGCTTGTTAAGTGTACTCTACAAGCTCTTCACGAAGATTATCCTCTCGCTCATATCAAGGACATTGGATGAGGCGCAACCAGTCGAGCAAGCAAAATTTCGAAAAGGATTTTGCTGCATGGACCACATCCAAACCGTGTCCAGGATTATCGAAGTTTGTCGGAAATACCACTTGCCTCTAGTCCTAACCTTTGTCGACTATGAGAAAGCGTTTGACAGTGTCGAAACGAATGCAATTCTATCAGCGCTCGTCAACCAAGGAGTGGACTCGTCCTAAATAAGGACTCTGTCCGACTGTTATCGGAACTGCACTACGAAAATACAGCTTTTCCATCGACTCCTTACAATACTCATAGGAAAAAGGGTTCGACAGAGCGACACAAGATCGCCATTGCTGTTCAGTGACGCACTGCAGTGGATAATGAAGTTACTCGGTCGGGAATAGAAAGGCATACATGTTGATGGAAAATTCCTATCAAACCTTCGTTTTGCCGATGACATTGTTATCTTCTCAAAAAGTACTAGCAAAGCAGAGGTGATGATCAACGAGCTCAACGAAGCGGGGAGAAAGAACGGACTTTGCATAAATCGAAAGAAGACCCAGTTCATGAAAAACCCGTGGTGCGAAGGCGAAAAAATTAAATTGGATGGCTCTCTAATTGCAGAGACCAACTCATACGTTTACCTTAGGCGATCAATGAACACGGAAAACAACATGAAGGAGGAACTAGAGAGGAGGTGAGCGGCTTGGGCCGCATTTCGAGCTCTCAAAGAAGCCACTGACGAACTGAAGGACTCGAAAATCCGCGCTCGTATCATCGATTCTATGGTCCTCCTGCGCTCTGCTGTGCTTCAGAAACGTGGGTTGATACTTCAACCACATCAGGAATGCTTCGCACTACTCGCAAAGCGCTTGAGCGATGTCTTTTGGAATATAACCGACACTCTCAATATCTAGCCGGAATGCAAAGCTCTGACCTTCGAAATCTGTCACATGTTCGAGATTCAGGAGAATATACATCGAAAAGGAAACATGGGAAGAAGAACCGCAGAAATAATGAGAAAAACAGAGCTGTACCCGCAGCTGCCCTTGTTTAACAAATCATGATATGAGACTCGCAAACGCTACCATGCTCGAACAAGACCACTACCATGGAGTACGATTGCGAGAGAAAGGAACGAATGGCATATGTGCTGGGGTCCCCACAGCTCGTGAAGACGGACCGTCCAAGTATCCAAGTAGGTAAGTTAGACGACTATGTGAGGAAAAATAGTGAATAATGGAAAGGTGATTTTACCGTTTTTTACAACCAGATTCACATCGAGTAGTGGATTAGTGCCTCAAATCAGTTAGCCTATTCATTAGCTATGAAACTAGTGGCTGATTTGCGCGAGCAACCCTGCGACTGGGTGACTTTGACCGGTGGCTCCGCGAACTTCTTTGGTCTACACTAGGTGGTAAATCTCAGCACAAATCGGCTAGCAATGTTGCTAGTAATTCTGCTTAATGTCGTGAAGTATTATGAAGCCTCTATGAACGTTCAGTACTGCAAATTTTGTTTAATCATTTTGCACAAGTGATTAATGATTAATGATACGATTTTAATGAGTGCTCTCAGCTTTACGGATTATAAAACGCTGCAACCAGTCTATGAAATAATCCAGGTCCGCTAAACCATTTCGTTTTCAGATAAACTGGATGGAGATCACCTTGGTTTTGGTGGTGACAATATCAACCGTCTATGCAAAACTGACTTGCACAAAATGCCCTTTCAACATAGCACCGTCAGGTCATACGAATTGCACAGAAACTTGTGAAGGAGACATCTGCATCATTGGTGAGAAAGTGATCAATGAGTCCAATAAAATGAAAAAAAGAAACAGAAGATATAAGATGATTTCACAGCGGCATTCATCATAGACGACTTTGCAGCAGTGTCTGAACGTCGAGAAATTGAGATGTGGGTGAAATTTTCTTTCATAAAGGGGTCATTCCTATGACATCTTTAAAATTTTCGCTTGTAGATAGGAAAATTAATAAACAAAGGCGTCAGTACCACCCTGTAGACACCAAAACATTTGAGATAATGAACAGATGACAAAGATTTTCTTCATAACAGCAGAAGTATTCAAATGAAGCACTGTAGTCTATGTAGCAAGGTGTCGTTGGAAGAAACGAGGTAGAATGGTGAGTCAGTGGAGTTAGTTTTTGGTGCATTCACCCATCATTGTCGTTTACTGTGTAGTGAGGGAAGCAGAATTGTCCAGAACCACCAAAAAGTAGCAGTCGATTTTTTGCTAAGCACACACAAGGTCGCACAAGGTTGCACATTTATTAACAGTAGCTAACGTTTCGCTTAAATCAAAGACTGGAGAGGCCAAGTTCAGCGCAGCCTAGTGGGCCAAATACTTGGATAACCTTAAAACAAAAACTTAAATACCTAGAGTTCAATCGCATTGGGAATAGAACACCTTCTTCACATACTCATCGCTTTGCACGTTTCTCCTACTGAGTAATTCTTTCTACTTCTGTTCAGCAAACACAAGGTGTTATTTTATTTCTTTATTTACGTACAAGCTGACGTTTCGGCGGATTTCGCCTTCTTCAGAGCCGCTTTTCCCAGAGTCTTCCACTAAATATGTCACGTGGAGAGCAACCGCACAGAGTTCACACGGAATCGTATTGTTTAATTATTCAATCAATGCCGAGGTTAATAGAAAGTCGGACGTGGGAGTTACTTCTACTGAGTGTTCCATGTGGGGACAACCGTACACAGTACACGCATGAGCCACCCTCACGGCAAAATCTTAGTGCTAGAACATTTTTAAGAGATTAAAATTTCAAAACATTAGAAAAACAAGGATTAAAGCCAAAAGTTAAAAAATTAAAAATAGGAGATTTTTGTGTTAATTTTTTTCTAATTTAGTTTTTTATCTTGATTTTTTTTAAAAAATTTTAATTTTAACGTGGCAGTGCTTTGTTGCCCATCCATGGGAGCTCTATAGTGTTAGTCTCCACGTGGAATACTCAGTAGAAGAGTTACAGGCAGTGGTGAGCGTGTGAAGCTGTTTCGTTTCCAGCGCGATTGAAATCAAGGCTTCATGAAGGTTATGTAGTGCTTCTGTTAAGGTTATGGAGGTGTTTGGCTGAGTATGTTACAGCTGACTTAATATATAATATCTCAGCATTATATACGAGTTTAATATATAATAACTCAGCATTATATACGAGTTATATTTCGCAACATACTCTTCCTTTAAAAAGAAAAAGGCAGTAAATAAAATGGTTAAGATTGCGATTATAACTAAGCCTCAACTTAACTGGGTTCAATGCCGATTTGGGCTTCCCAGATCAATCCTGTTGAGGAGTGATTGCTGATGGCAAAAGATCAATAGAACTAGTTGAGAGGCAGACAAAACGAAGAACCCGGACGGTGTGGTGGTGAAGTGGGCTACCACCCGGAAAGGAGAATAGCGCGCGCTCGTTCCACACCGCATACACCTGCGGTCCGGAGTTTTGCAAATATCTCAGCGATATTGTGGTTGTATTTCGCTTAATACCCTGTTTTAAAAATAAGAATTGGAGTAGGCAAAAAATAAGAAGTAAAACATTGCGAAAGAATACGTCAGTTATGATATGAAATTCACTATTTATGGACCTATCCAGTTAGGAAGACTTTACTCAATCAGTCCAAGTTCAGAATATAATTAAGAAAAGATAAGATGTCCACGTCAAAGGCAAAGAAGTGGTGAGAATGGGACTGGCACGACCTGAAAATTTTTTTAGTTGTGAACAAACACTTCAATGGCACCATCATCGCGAATTGTCTACAACTACACGATGGTGATCAGTTCACCGAAGGGTCGGCTATCTGCAACAGGTCTCGTCAGTTTTCCAGTCATTTGATCTCAGTTAACTTTTATATTAGGTTGTTGGAAAGGCTTCAAATATACTTATTTCAACATTAATATTTTAATCAAGGGTCCAACAATGAATTCAAAAGGTAGCGAAGTAATGACTGCTTTCAAAGTTAGTGAACTGTATTTGTTGAAATAGGGTATACAGATTGTTACCAACCATGTACAAACTCCGTTATTCCAGTAAAACGAACTTGTGCCTTGCCGGAGCCCAGGATACGTATTTCATTCGCTTCTTTTCGTTGACTCTCGTATTTTAAACACGAAAGCAGCCGAACAGGTGGGCAGCCCAACAGGACGCGTAATATTCCCTATTGTCGTTGGAGTTCATGGCTGACGTGTTCCTTACGGATTTTTTAAAGCTTGAATTTCGTCTTTTATTTAATTGCGGTTTAAATCCTAAACAAACTAAAACCTTCCAGAAAGTTTTTCTTGTTCTGCACACTTGTGAAGCTTTCAACTCACCACTTACTTTGAAGATTGAGAAATTGTTGGCAGATGTCGAAGAACCAGCATTGGCGTCGGTATATCAACCAAAATAAAAACACTATGTGAAAAATTCCAAATACAATGTGGTTTATCGGCTCTATTCAATTTTATCCATCATTTTGGACTTTCTAATCACTTTTCTATCGTACCATATCGCTATGACTGGTGTCCATAAAACCGGTGTTACGAAAACCACTAATCAAAATAAAGAGTTCAAGAAAGACAGAAGCGTTTAATTTAGAAAAAAACTCCAACCTCTTTCTTGGAGTTCTGTTTAATGACTTAGGTCCAGCACTTTTTCCACCTGCTTCGTCGTTACAGTTTCAGCTTAGGCTCGGAAGTGTCTCTCGTCCTTCGGATGTTGGATGCTAGTTGAACGTGGTTTTTCTTGGAGTCTTAAAGTAGGCGTAACAAAGAACTCTCAAGTTATTCTCGCAAACAACAGTCTAGCCATGTTGATGGAGTGGAGATTTACACCTATTCTTCGAGTGTTGCAGTGATTCTAAACCAACCTATAGCCATGTGTACTCAGGCCGAATCTAATAGTCCCATGCAACTGTACTTTAACATTCAGTATCATATGAAATTTTTGACTACACTCTTGTTATATCTAGCTGTGAAAAATAGCGACAGCTAAAATTTATTTTCAGAGAAGAGTACAGAACTTCCTGTGCTTGCACCACAAAAAATCACTGCAACAGTCCAACTTCTCCAATTGCCGACTTCAGATTTGTTGACGAACCGATTCTCGAGGGATATCAGCTGACACCATTAATCTCCATGGGTGGAGAGTCATTAGGAGGTCAGTATCAATTTTTCGAATGGTTAGCCGACTAAGATTTCAGAAAAATTAGTGGTGCTGTCGGTGTTTCTCTCTACAACGATGATTTTTTATTGTTTCTATCATATTTCACTATTAAATTTCCTAAAATCCATAGAGAATTCCAATTTAATATTTTTTGGAGGTAATCGCTTGAGTATTGCCCCATATAATAGGAAAATAAGAGTAGAAAAGTGTAATTGTGAAGCTGAGTGGAATAGAATATTTACTTCAAAAAGTTTTCTGCTAGGAAAAAATGAGTACAGAGTTTTATTTTGCACTGCTCTCTGGTTAGCCCTTCGAAAATTTTCTAAAGCGTCGCCTTTGCAAGAGCTTCCAATGGAGACGTCGGTTTCGTTCACGGTTTCGTTTAGACTGTTAAGTTTGTGAAACGTCTTTTTACATCACAGTTTAGCATTATACCAATATATTTGTTTCCACGATTGAAAAGCCCATAACTGGATTTCGAAAACACACAATTTTGCTCCATTTTGTCCACTTGGGCCTAATGCTGCAGTTGTTGGTTACTAAATGAGTATATTTTAGACCTGATAGTTGGCACGGTCAAACCTTTGCATTATGGAGCATTGGTGTCTGTTATTCAAACAATTTCGGCGATTCCACATTCTATTGTCTCTTTGAATCGCTTAAAAATTATTTTGCTACTCCATGAGGTCTGCATTTAAAACCATCCGTAGCGCCTCAAAGGATGATGTCGTTCACCATTCTACCAGACTGAGACGGCTTTATGGCGTTCAGTCAGAGATACTTTGCTAGAAGACGAACTGCCATCTGGAAATCGACGGATGTTCGACATTTGCTCTCCCCATTCAAAAATGACTCTTCAGTGAATAGTTGCACCACTGGCGACGATTCTTGATTGTTAACAGTCAAAAGTTTGAAGAATTGTGTCTCTTTATTTTTGAATTGCTATGTGTCGGCATTTTTGGTTGAATTTTGTCTTCTCGCTCGCAAAAACAGTTTTTCTCTTCGACCGTAGCTGCGGATGGAAGCCGGGTTATGGAATTAACGCTCTCGAATGGTGCGAAACCCCTTTGGAGAACCGTAGGATCCGTTGAGGAATCATGATGTACACTGGAAGAACTTTCAGCTGCATTGGTCGAATTCCGAAGAAACACACTGTAACGAGCTTTTCCTTTCTTCTAATCCATAACCCGTACACCGGCAAGCTTTAGAAGATGGACAGTGCGCTAGAACAAAAGTGTCCTAAGTGCAACTAAATTGACCCCATCTACGATAGCTTTCATCACATACCAAGACAGACTTTCTATTAACCTGGGCACTGATCAATAATTCACTGTTTCTCTTCAGTGAGAAAACACGAGGTTAGCATTAACGCATTTATTAGCATACAATAGTGGGCGTTACGAAGATTTCGACTTCTTCAGAGGCTGGAAAGTCAAATTGACGCGCCACCTACTCAGCCAAATACTTTGATAACCTCAGGAGATGAAACCTAACACATAAATTTCCATTAGCATAATAAAAAGCCTCTCCTAAATACCCACCTCCTTGTTCCTTGTAAGCCTCCCAGTTAACTGGTGGAGAGCAGCCTCACGGAGTTTTACATGGGCGAGGAATGTGCTTGGGTCAGATCATAGATGAGCTATGGCGCTGGGTCACGGGTGATCACAAGACACTCCTTTTTGCGGTTTATTTTCTGACTTTTCGAATTAATCCAAAGCGATTCAAGACTTTTGCGCACAGATGTCTTGGATTCCTACCCAATGGTAGTGACTTTTGCTTCAAAATCTTCTCCGCTGGGCTTCTGCTTCCTGTTTGTACATAGTGGAGTGTTTGGTTTCAATTTAAATTTACCAAATAGGTGCTCTTTTAAACCAATATGCAAAGTTGTCTAGTCGCTTCGCTAACGTATTCGTCCTCACATGCATTAAAAGAGATTGGGTACACAATACTCGAACAATCATCGTTTCTACCATAAGGACATAACGTGCAACTTTCTTTCTCCATAGGCAATTAAGTAGAAAGTTACGAACAAGCCAGCGTATGAGTGTCTGATAGTATTTTTGCCATTGTTACGGATTTGTCTAAATCCTCCCTTCTTAAGCAACGCTTTATAGCTGCGCTCATTTCGTAGGAATTAAAGGGAAGGATAAAAGAGATCTTGTTTTCGCTAGAATTACCGTTTAGGGACGTGGTTTCCCAACTACGCTTTTCCTGGGAGCTACAGCTTCGTACTATCATCATAGTGCCTTTTGCGAACGCACATGGACAGAATGTGGTTTCATAGCCGGCATACCATCAACAACACTTCATTGTACCATTTACCATCGTTGCTGGGTTTCTGAAAGCTAGCAAACCTTTAATAACTAATCCTAGTGAGAAAGGAGATCGATTTTCTCATCTCCTGAATGTGTGAGATTTTGCCAGTGGACGCCCAAAATTTTGTTTCAAATTGTCAAAAAACTTTCTGAACGATCTTGAATAAAAACGACAATGTTGCTGAGATATTTATAAAACACCGGACCGCAGGTGTCTGCGTAGGGAACAAACGCGCTATTACCCTTTCCGGGGCTAACGCGTTTAAAACCACACCATGCTGATCCTTCATTTCGTCTATCTCTTAGCTAGTTCTATGGATCATCAGCAATCACCCTTCAATGGAATTGATTTGGGCTCCCTAGATTTGGCCTTCTTAGATCAGTTTCTCTGATGAGTGATTGCTGATGGCAGTGATCGATAGGACTAGCTGAGAGACAGGGTAAACGAAGGGCCAGCATGGTATGGTGGTAAACGCGCTAGCCTCCGGAAAGGGTATTAGTGCGTATGTTCCCCACCGCAAACACCTGCCGTCCGGAGTTTTGCAAATATCTCAGCACCATTGTTTTGCACGTAATACCCTGTCATAGAAAATTGTAATAGGCAATAAATAAAAAGTTAACATTGTGAACCTTATATAACGTTAGAAAATTTAGTGCCTCACTGTTTTCTATTTTCTATTATCTTTTTAACTGTTATTACTGCTACCATTATTACTTACTTGGATAGCTGAACGGCCCGTCTTCGCTAGTTGTGCGAGCCTCAGCATATTCTCCCTTTTTCGGAGTCTTACTGATTTAGCCATTGTTTTTCTAAATTTCCGAGGTTAGCCAGGCCAAAGACAGCCTCAGGTCATTCCCACCACAGGGAGTCGTCGCCCTTGTGGATCAGAGGGAGATTTATCACTATACGACAGGTTTGGTGCCAGGACGGTATAAATCTCGGTATTGCTTTACTCTTAGCTGGGCTTCCTGATGGAAAGGCCGGACTCTTGCTTAGCTTGGCAGACCCTGCTGGGGGATGAATTCCTCCGCTGTACATCGCAACTTGACATTCAGGAACATGCCCCAACCACGATGAGGCAGTAAACCGTCGGGAGGTGCTACTATTATTACCAAAATTATTTTGGTCAGAACTAGCAATCTCAGTAGTATTTATATTAATAATATTACCTCTTTCAGATGGACACACATTGAAGCCCTACGGCGATCAGCATAACCAAACTCTAAGGTGGGTTTAATTTTTTAAAACTCAAGATTGGACTGGGTTAGGAAATATTTTATGGCTCGTAATTTTTTTAACATTTCCGTGATAATTTAGTAGTACTAAAACTTTATACAGCGATTTTGGCAGAATTGTTTGATGACAGGCTTTAAGTTTGTCGGTTTCTATTTTGCATAAAAAAGATTGCACCACAATGATACTAGAAGTTCGGTCAGCACGTTGAAGATGACTCAGATCAGCGTGTAAGTATGAGAAGTGTAGTTGATGGCTATCGCATCTAGGACTTGTTTTTGCGACGTCTCATAGAATTACATCCATTACAACGCTGCTACGTGCCCTGTGGAATCGTTAAAGCCCGGAAAAACACTTGTCAGCTTTTCATTATTTTTTGCCACATGGCTATTTTGTAGAATGGTATTCATCTACGTTTTACTATTTTTAGTGATACAGTATTCACGAATTGTTAGAATGTTTTGTTTGAGATTTTCTGGAGCAGATCCGAGATTAATACGTTGAAGGAAGCACCAAATACTCTCTCACTTCCCTGTCGGCCGTGTTCATTCTGCAGACCCAAAAAAAAGGAGAACGAAGTCAAAACGAAAATTAAAAAAACAGTGTCCATAGAAAAGACATGAGTTAAATAAGGACAAGGACTTCGTATACTGATTTTACGTCAGTCTCTCAGCAAATGTATTACGTCTGTTGACCGTGATCAGGAAAGGCTGTTCATGGTGACATTATATACATCTGAGATGTATCATCTGCATCCTCTAAAATTGGTTTGAACTAACTCACAACCGTTCAAGGCCACCAGCTTCCATTTTTGACTTCCCGATTCTGCTCCAACAGGCCACTGCACAATTTACCACCATATTTGTCGATGATTTTCATGTCATCAAGATTTCGTTCGTCTTTCTAATACTAACGCGTTCTGACACTCTTATTCGTTATTTTTCTGTTTCCGATATCTGCTGACTCCTTAGATATTTCGCTCTGTTTCACCTTCCTTTGAGTGGCGAGCACTATGCCTTATTATCGAGCGCTTTCGCGACCCGTCATCAGAGGTTGATGCCAAAGACGACGATGGAACACGTTTACGGTGCTATTAAATCTTCATCGAATAACTTCTTCATAACAAAAATGGTCCACTAAAAACTGGTAAGAAGACGTAATCCGAACAACTGGTATTTCCTACCTTGGAGTCACCTAGATAATTACATACAGGAAGAAGAAATGGTGGGTTATGATAAATATGAAGAAGGCATAATACCGTCCCATCTGCATTCAGCATATTAGCATCAAGCAGTGTAGCATCAAGACATATTTGAATTGTTCATAGGTTTTATGAGCATATTTTTTTGTAGGATTATTTTACGCCTTTTTAATTTGTCCTTAGAATTTATCTTTCCAGCTGATTATTTTGATTGGTGGTTACCAATTTTTTTCACTACATTCTATTTTTCTAGGATTCTAGTGAATGAGTTTTCTGAGTTAAAAGCTGAAATCTAGATGAAAAGAATTGAAGAAGCTTTTAGTTAATTAGTTCTCACGGATATTTCCGAATTCGTCTTCCAAGGCAAAACTCGCTAGGAGTCCTCCATTGGCACTCACAAGTGACTTCGACGAAGACTCCATTCCGTTCTGTTTCGCGCGTTTCGTGACTGCGTATTCCACCGACCGTAGACCTATTAAGCGCACTGAACCCACTCTTGGTCTCTTCATTCGGCCGAGGTTTTTCTTTCTTAAAAATGTCGTTTTTCAGTGAAATTCCCTCTCACGATAGCAACACGTCTCCCAGTCCAACACAAGAGTCGGCGTCGATTTCCACTATCTATCCGACCACTTTGTTCTGCAACTGTTTGATAATTTTTTTTAGCGTGATGTTATTCTAGTCAGTGGATTGTAATGTCCATTTTGCACATAACTGAATACTTATATAAACTCCAAAGGTCACGTGGTTATGAACGAGATTTCAAATGTGTGTTACAATCCCACGTTAAATTCGTTTATGAGTGGTCATAAAAAAACGAGCAGAGTTGCAGAACATACAATATATGGAACAAAGTAAGAACAAAGTGAGCAATACATACCTAATTTTTACACATTAGCATTTATTGTAGTTAAATACTTAGGTGTCACAAAAAATCGTCTCAAATCAACAGCGCTACCAAGGTCTTCGTAATCAAATCACTTCGGAACCAAGTGTATTTAAAATACCCAACACTTGATATCCACTGATTTGAAGGTTGGTGTTGTACTTTGCCGGAGGATGCAGTAAACGGAAACATTCAGACCATCAACCGAACTAAATGTCTTAGGCACAACGCTAAGAGTATAAGCTGATTTGGTACTGAAAATATCGATTGTTCAAATAATCTACGAGGTTTAATAGAAATAGTAACCCAACACAATAAATTATTGACATCTGAACATTGGGAAATTCCTGATTTATGCTGAAAGCACAATGTTGAGAGCTACCCCGCAGTGAATTGGCGTCGTTCTTTTCGAAACCTAACGTCAATCGAACGCGTCATCCTTAGATGTTCAGAAAATTGGTATCAGACATACCCTCTTTGCAATCCATAAAGGCCTGAGAACGCTTTACGTATGATTAGCTCAAGGCTATAAACAGAACCATGGTTGACAATTGTTTAACTTCTTTGGGAGGAAGATAAAATTCCCAAGTACACCAGGAAAACCCGAACACCTTCTTGGATGATCGTCATAGGGCAATAAAGCAGATGAGTGAACTGTTCAGAGCGATGTCACAAAAACAAAAAAATCAGTCAATCTATGGATTTAACAGCTACTGGTTCGATTATCCACGATGGTGTTTTTTTTGCATCTATCAACATCAAAAACTGTGCAGTTCTCAAAATTTCTTGTATTCGATTCGTTTTCTCACATCTATGATATCCAAGAGATTCAGATTTACGTGTGAATTTCGCTTCTGCTTAAGAATTTTTGGTTTTCTTTGTGTGTATCGTCAAATACTCATCACGTCTATTTTCACAGAAATCTTAAGATATTTGTACTAAAACGCTCTCAGATCTGCTTCACAAGCATGCTCTATATTTGAAGAAGGAACGGATGAATTCCAGACAAGACTTGAACAAATGTCGCAAGAGATGGAGGACTTGGTTGCTTGGCCAGGGGCTGAGTCGAAGAAGGACCATTACCATTATGCTACCAGCGGACCGAGTTGAGATTTGCTTACTATGAAGATGACACAAATTGTACACTTGTTTGAAACGCCTCGAATCATATCCGAATAGTCGTAAAAAATTGTAGTGATTTTAAAATTTCTCAACCCTTGAAAGGTATGCTTATGTATTCGTAAAATTGAGAAATCACAAAGCAGTTTTGTTGGTCTCTTTTTTTGTACACAAAAAGTAGGGACGTCTTAGCACCTCTGTTGTTCCAACAAATTCTTGAAGAGGACGAGGAGTAATGTTTACAGTAGCTGGTCTTGTTCATTGCCTGTTATCTTTTGATCCGCAGTGCAAACTGTTCCGTTGTGGGCGGTGTGCGGTAGTTCTTGCGGTTTCGCAATTTTGGATAAATGTATGAAGCTGTAGCAAACAGGTCTGAAAAGGATAACAGATAATGGTGATAAAAGAGCTCCGATGATTTTCAAGTAAAATGAAAAAACTCCACCTTCATGTTCTCTGCACCACGCCTATCGCCTATTACTTGTGACTATTTGTTTTCGTTCTTAAGTTTTTTATATGGTTAGGAAAAGGTTATCCATCTGTCTTGTTTTTATTATGAATATTTAATGAGACTTTTATTGGTCGGCAGGCGACCGGTTACCCAGTGAAGACGACGGGCACCATACTTTCAGTATGACACCCTTCTTCTATTACTTCTGGTATAGATCGCACTCAGGCATACCAACAGCAGAGGTTTGCAGCACTGGCTAGACTTCTGAGTAACAATTTAGAACTCTTTATGAGAGCAATCCAGATGTATGAACTCCGAGCGCTCCATCGTAGTTCAACATCCAGAAAAAATTCAGTAAACCGGATGAGGTGACAGATGACAGAGAGTTGAGATGACATCGCAGTAGGTTTGTCAAAGAAATCGGCTCGAAGCTGTTTGTCGATCTCACTGTCTCTCATGAGAATTATGTCAGTTAACACAGTGCGAACATGGCAACGAATTCCACAGGATCAAATTTGAGTGGCAACAACAAATATATGATTTCGGAAAGCAAAATTGAACAAATGGATCCAATTTTAAGCGCGTCCATGGAAAGTGAACACAATCGACAATGGAAAACATTTGTATGGCATTTCTGTATTTCAGAAAAGTCACGGAGAATAGTAATCCACCAAAACAGATTAACGGGCTGAATGCTGTATCAGGAGGAGAAAGTTCATCTATGAAATATTACTTACTCTCACCCTTTTAAATATTGGGATTGGGGCATCAGCTCTCGATATCGGCGAAACCCTCCTAGGTTTAACAGTTTCTTTATAGGAATCAGAATATACACTGTGCCAGTGAGAATTCGAATCTCGTCGTATTGCTTTACTTCATGCACAAAGCATCGCCCTGACCAATAAGTCGTAATGAATCCCGTGAAGCCAAAACTAGATGCTAAGTAGGTGATGAGAACGTCACGTCATGCTACTACAAACGGATCCTTCTTAAATGATGGTTTTTCAACATTATACATACGTAGCTGTCACATGCTCTGAAGACTCGAGGTCATATGCGAGGGTTTTTTGCTAGACCACACGAATGACTCGGCTACGAATGAGCTCTTGTTGCTGGAAGTGACGCCTGTACAGAACGACGATTGGAAGATCCGTTTTTAATAGAGCATCGATAGACATATCAGGATATAGATGTGGATGGACTACTCGTACAGCATGGGAACGAACGACAGTTTCGGGCTACCAAGAAAACTACCGCCGTCTGCCAGCGAACACGCTGCTTTGATGGAATGATAAAAAATCAAATAATTTTAAGCGAAGAAAAAGCAGAACATTATTAAAACATAAAAGGACGAGGGAGTTTCATTTAAACCACACTTTGGGTTTTGAGTTAAAGTGTTCATTATAAAGGGAGTGGAAAGGAAATATTCGTGTACTGTGCAACGTAATTGTGATATTTTAGCTCTTATTACCTATACTGGCTCATTGATCAGCGATTTTAAATGCTCGTTTTATAGAAATGTTGATTCAACTAACGGCAATATTAAGAGAAGGGTTTGTCGATAACGTGAGCAGGTGCAGATGTAGACAAGGAAGGCGACGTAGCAGTTGATGAGGGAGAGGAGATCGAGCACGTCCGCCAACGACAGGTAGACGTACGCGTGGAATTGCGACGTGTACAGCGCTGAAACTCGTGGACACGAGTAGAAATGCAAAAAGAACAAGAAAATCCGGAATATTCGAGTCGGACCTAGAAGCCTTCTGGGCTTCAAACACTCATGAATTTGGGCATACGTAAAAATTATGCTGACTCAGAGAATTCATCGCACTACGAACGATTTAGAAGGCTTGAAAGCGGGAGTGTTGACCAAAATACACAATTTTTGTTAAATTAGTTTAGACAAAAACAACGTCATCGTACCGTTCAATACGGCCATCACACCTTGTGGTAACTCTGTGATAAGAAAAACCGTAACCATGAGCACTAGCCTGAAATTTAATTTTTCTTTGCCTTTACGACGAAGCTGGTTTTTTGATAACTGTTGCAATTTTTCCTGAGCACTTCGGTGGAGATGGCAGACACGTTGAGAAGGTTCTGCTATTTCGCTTTAGGGATATATAAAAGTTTTATCAAATACACGTAGTTTCCGATTTGTATAGAATCAGACTTCTAAAGAAGTTTAATTAAAGTTTATATAACCACAACGTTGCTGAGATATTTGCAAAACTCTGGACCGCAGGTGTCTATGGTGGGGAACGAACGCGCTATTGTCCTTTCCGGGGAGCGCGTTC